ACAGCTAACAATATGCATTTACAGTTCAAACCCAAGGCTTTTAACTCTCTTACTATTTCTTACAGTCCAAAGAAGTCTAGTCTACCTGGATATCTTACATTGATTCACTATGCTAATGACATCATGCTAATTAGACTATGAGCAAGAAGTGGCTGGCACATCAGAGACCTTGGAAAGAAACATGTACTCCAAAGAGTGAAATAAACCCTACAAAGACTCAAGTGTGTGTTATACCAGTGAAAGTTCTAAAGAGATCCAGTGGTTCAGGCATTAGGCATTCTGGGATATTCCCCCCAGGTAAAAGAAAAGACAGGTGATTGCATCTTACAACTATCATAATGAAGCTGAAAGTACAACTTTTGGTCATTCTCTTCAGGTCCTGATGGCTGCATATTTAACACCTGCAAATACTGCCTCAACTCATACTGGATGTCACAAAAGGCTGCCAGCTTTGAGACCCAAAGCAAGAAAGGGCTTGACAGTGATAGAGATTCTTTGCTTGTCCAACCTTCAGTCAGGCTTCTGAATCTTCTGCTAGGCCCATCTGTGTATTTCCTTGTAAAGTCCAGTTTAATTATTTATTTCATTCATGAGAGAGAAAAGGAAAAAGAGATTAAAAAAAAAAAAAAAGGAAAAATACCCTCAAGAGGTTTCGTACGTCATAATCCTCCCCTCAGCACCACAGACAGGCAGGATCATGCTCATGGACACACCTGCATATTCAGGTAGACTGGACCCAGAGTCTTTCTAGCACCTCCAGCATCGTTCAGCAGCATATCTGCTACCTGTACCTCCACAGCCAGACCAGTAAAGTCCAGTTTTAGCAAATAACTTTGCTAAGTTATTTTAGCGAGAACCCTCCTTCATCCTTGATTATCCAACCATCCTCAATATCTGATCAAATTCGTCATCTTTCACCATCCCCCAGGTGACTTGTCTTCAGCAAGAATCCTGTTAGGTCAGTTTAGCCAAAATCTCTCTTATCCCCAATGTTTCCTCTCAGTAATTTTCCATCCACTGACCCCCTACACTGCTTCTTGGCTCTCACTTTCCACTTGCTCACATTGTATTCAGGGTTGAGCTGAATCTCCTTCCCTTACTATGAGACTATGTTGCAGTGGTCTCTGTATCTATGGCAATGGTCCTAAGTGAAATCTTCCTTTCTGTGCTTTAGCAAATATTATTGAGTCATTTTTCAAGAGCATCCAGGTCAGGAGATCTGAGGTAGGAAGGAAAGAGTACAAAGTGTGATAAATCATTACTTCACATGTCGAAGTCTAAGAGATCATCTGCCACAGAAGAAGCAATATACAACAAAACAGACAAAATTCGGACTCTGTCATCAGCTCCTCTACCATTGGCATGGTGGGCACGCAAGCAAAGTAGCCATGGTGGCAGTGATGGAGGCCCAGACTACTAATTACCAAGGCTGATGTAACTACTTCCATCGGCAAGTGTCTAATATGCCACAACAGAAACCAACACCTAGTTTTCATATGGTACCATCCCTCATGGATACTCCAATCCTTACGTCAAGTGTCAATGTATACACCTTACATGTCAGTCATCTACAGAATAACCTACAAGGAAAGCCAGAGATTTATTCTGAAAGAAGAGACACATATTTGGGTATGGATTTTCTTTCCCACAGAGCCTCAGTCATTGCTACTACCCAAGGCCTTTGTGAGTGTTCAGTTCCCTACTACTGATTCCCACATAACATGCCAGGGAAGTTGTCTTAACAACAAAGCAGGCATAAGGGTGAGCATATGACCATGAGGTCCACTGGGTACATCACATGCCACACTGCCCTAGAGCTGCTGAGAGAGTTCTGGGACCACCAGTTAGAGAGACAGCATGTTAGAGGCAGCATTTAAAAGGACAAGACATCATCCAGGTGAAGAACACATATTGAATCAATTATCTGTACGTGGGGCTAAGTCCCTAACAGGAAGAATACATGGTTCTAGGAACCAGGCAGTAGAAGCAGGGGAAAGCCTGCCAATCAGCACTCAGTGATTTCTTGGGTGGACCTGTGCTTCCCTTTCCTACAACTCTGGACTCTGTAGGTTTAGAAGTCCTGGTTGCTAGAGAAAAAACACTTTGCCAGGTGACATAGCAAGAGTCCCATTAAAGTATAAGCTCTGACTAGGTCCTAGGTATTGTGCCAAAGAATCTTCAAGCAAGGCAAGGAGTCACCATCCTAGCTGATGGGACTGATCCTTGTTTTGTGAGGTTCTGCTCTTTTTTGAAAGTTGGGTTGAATAGAGATGTAGGGATTTGGAAAAAGACACTGATGTCATGTTGTTTATTGGCTGAGTTTAGTGAGAGCTCATAGAGCTTTCAGTAGGCTCACAAAGCCCATAGCAGTGCTCACAAGCACTTCTTCCCTCTTGGAGCTATTGTAGTAACATGTGTGGAGAACACTCACAGAGTGACTCCCTCCCTTTCAGAGCTCACAGCGCATAGAGCTAAGCTGAGCTGAGCCAAGGCCAAGCCGAGCCAAGGCCAAAGCCAAGCCAAGCCAAGCCAAGGCCATCAGGGCTCACCAGCCTAAATTAAGACCAAGCAGAGCAGGGCTGCTCTGATCAGCCAGAGGAGGTGGAATGATCCCTTGCTCCATTGTAATTGTGAGTGGCTACATCCAGCAGCCCTAGAATGAGATGGATATGACCTGAAAGGTATGGAGCACATCACCCAGACTAAGCTGAGATTTTAGCTGGGAGCCAGGGGCATTTAGAATGATTGAGGAGAAGAGAAGAGGATGAGTACCGTGGCTGCATCTCACCTGTTAAAACCCCTATAAGTGCCCCTCAGTGAAAGACTTGTCACCCAGCTCCTGGGAGTGTGTATTGGCATACACATTCTGCTTTCATATCCTCAGACATTGCCGTGGCCCTTTCACAAACACTTTTCTCTGTGTCTACACTACCTCTATTTTAATTGCTACAACTTATCTCTGGCTATTATTAGACATTTACAGATTTACTTTATGTGTATAAAACTTTTTCATACACATGCACATGTACTTATGCAGGGTTAGGACTAAAATGAGGCAACTGAAGCACCTAGGACATAAAATTTAAGGAAGTGCTCACCTACTGGAGTGAAGTTTTGTGTTTCCCTCACTCTCGTTCCAGCCCTATACCTATGGGGTGTGCACGTGTGTGTGTGCATGTGTGTGTTTTCCTTTTAAATTTATCCTTGGGAAATAACTCCCATGATGGGACCTTACTGGTTCAGAGTATGTTAAGATACCAATGACTAGAATGTCTCTCAAAAGAATTCCATTGAAGAGTTGTTGTTTTTTTTCTTTAACAAAATGTTGGTATGTGCACAATGGCTTTTATAAAAATCATAGTGGGAACAGGAGCTGTTCTGGGACTAACATAATAGTATGTCCCAACTATAGTTCTATTATCACTATTAAAGTTCCACAGCTCTTGGGTCAGCCTGTGGTGTGGTGGTAACAGCGGCTGGCTCTCACACAGCAGACCATGACGTGAGTCTTGGACCTGGCAGCCTGAAAAACACGCAAGGCATGTGTGCCTGCTTGTATGCCCCAAATCTTGAGAGAATGGAGAAGGGATTGCTCTGTGGCCATCCCCACTTAGGGGTGATTTCTTACTTTCTCCCCTTACCCCACCCCTGCAAGCACACATGCCCTACAGCAACTAAAAAAAAAATCAAAACCCAAAACCTCCACAAATCTGACTTTTCACGTTTGCATAGCCCAGTCAAAACATTCTGGGTTTGGACAGTCATACCTTCTTGCATGCAAACTTTATAATCAGCCTCAGATAGTGAGTCCCTGTCCCTAACAGAAAACACTTCTGTTTACCAGTCAGCTCACTCAGGCCGTATTGTTTTCACAAGTGGTAGCCCTTTGGACTAGACCCAGGAGGTTTAATCTGCAGAACAACCTCTATGTCAGGAAAGATCTAAAGGAGGAAGAAATGTGGGTGATTTGCTGTTTTATGCCAACCAAGTTTCCAACTTTTGGCTCAAATTCAAATTCTATTATTTGGGGACAAATAGCACCAGAATTAGCCTGCAAATCAGTTTTTACAAAAGTCAATGGAAAAGTATCTGGACTAGTCTGTTCTGCATAAATTTTTCCTAGAGGGGGCACTTTCTAAAAAGGCACTAAATGGAAAATCACCAGAATGACATTTAGAGTGGACAAGTTCTGAGTCACTACTGGGCAGATGTAGCTCTGAAACTTGCATAATTAGAGGAAAGATTGGAGGGTGAGGGAGCAGAAGGAACAGGTTAGGGTGAGGTAGGTTATGGAAAGAGGTTGTTGGGAAGAAACCAAATTATGGATAAGGTTCTTCCAGCAACTTTCCTTTTGGTTATCTTGGAAAAATAATCTGTTTTCTACCTGCCAATTAGGGCTGAACAATTCATTTAGTACCTCCTAATTTGAAGTCCTTGAAACTATACTATTAGAGTTAATTTTTTTCTTCTGTGGGTTTCTGCCTATTTGTTTTTCTTCTTCTAGAGAGTTTTGTTAAGTTACTGCACTGGAAGTTGACTCTTTGAGTCTTCCTTTCTGGAGTGGAATGACTGTTACTGATTCTGAATGGGAAGCCTTACTTTCCAAAGTCTTTTGTGTGTTCTGGATCAAGCTTGTCAGAGCTTCCTAATCTCAAGTGATGCTGGCTTTTGTAGGAAGACTTGCGGAACCACATCCACTGTGTACACACATAGCCAGCATCTACGGAGGGATGTAAAATCACTCCAGGAGTGCAGGCGGGATAAATCCGTATTTCTTAAAGGTGTTCTGCAAAAGGATTGCAATCTATTCCTTTGACATCCATCCTTGTCTAAGAATAATGTGCACTAAACTGCATCTTTAGTAAATATTAGTTGGACAGATTAAGGACAGAATATTTGTCAATTCCCAAAGAACAGTATGGTGGATTAGACAATAGAAAAATATATTCTTTTGTTTTTTTAAAATAAATGCAACCAAATCGTCTATCCAATCCGTTTACCTTTAGATGCTTGCTACTTCTGCTAAAGCATTCGTTTTTCCACGTTCTACAGCAGTTGGCTCTTCTGCCACGTGGGTCTCAGGCCAGTACTAACAGTGGAAAGAATCCAGTCCCGCTAGGGCCTAGCAGGAGAAACCGCTTCCCAGACCCCCGGCAATGGTTGCGGCGGCGGCGGTTTCCGCACGGGCCGACCAATCAGGAGGCGCCTTTGAACAATCGCGCGCCTATCGCAGGCGCCCTTTCGGCGGGTGGCACGGGCTATTTAAAGGTGGACGGCCGCTCCGGGGCTGCATGCTTCTGGGCCGGGGTCTGGGGTCCGTGGTAGCTATGGACAGCTGCATCGTGCTCAACACGGGCGCCAAGATGCCCATCTTGGGGCTGGGCACCTGGAAGGTAGGTGCTCTGGGGGGCGCGGTCCCCACGGCGGGGAGGGACCA